AAAAAATGATACTGAGATCAACCCCAAGGTAAGCGATGAAACTAGAATTAGCGAAATTAGTGCTAAACTACATATGTCCTCTTTGATTAAATCGAATGCCCAGATGAGATCTAGTCTCGAGACTTTACCTCTTCCTGCTATGGCAAACACTTTAATGTCACCACTATCGGTATATATTTTTCTTGCTCTGTTAATTATTGCGGTTGTGTGGTTCATAGTGTTGAGACATGAATTGAGTATAAGTAAAAAAAAATGATCAGTTACAGGATACGTAGACTAGGTATTAGGAACTATATATTTAAACTTCGATATTATTTATGTACAAAAAATATATATGATGGTAATATAAAGATATATTTATAGTGAGCTGACTGCCTTGTTCCATGTATTTAGAAAACTCTCAAGTGTTAGTTGATCTGTTTTCGATATATGAGATAAGGTAGGTTGTTCAGTAATCATTTCATTTTTTCTCATAGTCCCAGGTTGGCCAATTTTATCTGGGATTGTTATATGCTCTTTATATCGTATATGATATACTAACTTATGAAAGAAAACATCATATTTTTCGATAATTGGATAAGTACATTTAGATATTTCGTAAAATCAGAACATATGGACTTTTTTATCTCTTCACCTATCAAAAGATTATCATTTTCAGTATATACTTTGACATACTCTATAAATTTTTCCCATAATCTCGAAACAGGGTCACTTACCTTAAAGTCTTCAAAGTTTAGCCATTCTCCATGAAATATCTCGTAGGTATTACCTATATTCCGATGTAATATAGCTTGTGCGGTCTTGACTGCCTTTTTATAGGCACGTTTATAGGCATACCCACGATTAGCTATTATTTTAGAATCTATTCCATTTTTCTCCTTAATATACGACTCAAGCCACTTCTTGGCCTTATTTTGGGCATAGATATCAATTTGTTTATACTTCTCATCGAAATCCGTAAGTTGCATAATTTTGTCAGTAGATAGGGGCTCATGTCTTTTATCACACATTATAAATCGGGCGCAAAGTCCAGTAATAGTATTTTCAAAGTAGTGGGATAAGTCTATGCTTCTACCAAGTTCTTTAGCCACATTTATGAATTCTATTTGATCCGATTTTCTCAGCTTAAATTTTTTACTAGCTAGATCAAAGATTCTATCAGGTTGGACAATCACATAACTAAAACGTTCACCTGGATCTAGAATCTTATTTTCGTATTCTTTTCTCATCCGTTTATAAAATTTTGAACACGTATATTATTTTTATTAGGTTTCCATGTAGCAGATTCTATAAATTGATCGAAATTCCATTGTCTAGGATTAGTTATAGCCTCTTTGAGGACGTCTTCAACAATTTTATGGAGAGTTTGATTATTGTTAATATCCATCGCCCTCCACATAATCTGATCTCCTATGGTTCTAAAAAGTTGGGATTTACCTTGCTTCACCGTATCAATACCTTTAATGAAAAGTTCTTTTGGTTTGAAGTTTGGAACTTTTTTATGTGGTATTCCAAAATATTTCTTTTTACCGGTAAATACTACTGGGAATAAAACTTCTTCGTAAGCCATTTTAAGATAGGTCGATCTATTCTTTATTCTAAGATATGTATTCACATCGTTACGTAATTTCTCCATTACTTTCATGGTAATTTTAACCATTTCGGTCAAATACTCCAACTTTGAAATTGTTCCTTTACCATTATTATAAGCAAGTTCACATTCTTTATAACATTCAACAGGACAAGTGAGATACAAAGAATCAGTGTCCCCGTATTTGATTCCAAAACCTTTCTTCTTAGTTACATACTCAGCAACAAGTTTAATGTTATATTGTCCTGCCGATGTAACACCACCAGCCAATTGTAGAAAGAATAATGGGGATAGACTATTACCTGCTTCTCCATAGAAAGTATTCATATATATTTTTACTGCTTTTTGTTTCGAATTTAAGCAAGTATGTTCAAAGCAGATAGAATCGTATTCTATTTTAAAATTTTCATAGGTTTCATTGATAAGAGGAATCAAGATTTCATTCATATTGGCACGTTTTTCTTTATCTTCAGCATTTCTTAGAATATGATCAATAGCATTAGCCACTAATAAATTCTCCTCTTTTATTTTACTAATTGCTAATTCCATATACTCTTTTTTGTTGCTAAGTATTCCCAATAGAGTCTTCATTTTATTTCGTTTATTAAGGAGATCTTTTAAAACTGATGGATATAACCCCATTTTATTATTTTTATTGTCATGTCTTATAGACCAAGCATGTAAAATTCGGCCATTAAAAGGAAACTTGATTTTATAGAGAATTTCTCCAACCTTTTCTAATGCACCCGCCTCTTCTGCTAGTAGAGTCATTGTTTCTGGCGAGAGATTATAATTCATAATAATACTTGGATATAATGATGCAAAATCTAAACCCGTAACAGGACGTTTGTTTTCTAGACCCTTATCTGGAGGGAATATATAGGCTCCAGGAAATGTTCCTTTTTCTGTCCGTTCGGAAGAAATCAAAGTAATTAATATATCTCTTTTCCACACTTCGGCACCTAATAGATTACATACCTTCATACCCCCTGCATAGTAATGTGAATCGAATAAAGAAACATATGCAATTGAGGCCACTTCTCTGTAATCATTTATTACATTTCTCTTAACCATAAGTTCTTGACAACTTAAAGCATCTTTAATACAATATTTAGCAATTTTACGTATATTTTCAGCGGTCTCGAGTGAGATATTCTCCTTGCTTCGTGTGTAATATTCCCTCATAACTTTTATGGGTAAATCTATTTTACTATCAAGACCATGCATTTCTAAGAAATAGTTGAGCGATTTTTTCTCAGATTTTGGATAAAGTTTTTTAAAGCATACTACAACATCAATTGGAACGCATCCTGGGATTTTAAGGAAAGTAGATATGAAACCTTCTTCTGGAGTGATCTTGATTTCAACTCCTTCCCGATTCTTTATCTTTTTGCTATCCTTGTTTTCTTTTTTGGAAGATCCCTATGATTGCTCTTTGTGAAAGAAATCTTTATAGAAAGGCTCACCTACCCCCCCATAATAATTCCAATGAAGGATGCTATCGATTGTAGCCTTTTTACGCAGATTTGCTAACATTTTTGTTAACATCCAATCCAAAATTTTCCATTGAGTAGCTCTTTCCACTACAAATAGCCAGTCATACTTGGAACCATTAAAAGTGAGTTCAATATCAGAAGCTAAAGCCCGCCAACATAAAGCAAATGCTTTTAATGGATTTTTCTCATTTCCACACACAATTGTAATCCAATTTGGGTCCTGTGCACTTTCAACGTCAACAAGGCAGATTTGTTTCAATGGCTTTAGATCATCTTTCCAATGAACAGTAATACAAATCATAAATATGTTATCTTCTTTATATCTCGCATAGGGCATGTGTTCTAACCCATGCGTTGAATGTGTTTCAATGTCCCAAGCAAGGACTAATGCTCGGTCTTGAGTAATAAGCTGAGAAGGGTAGGTCCTATATAATACTGCGGGATCCTCAACATGGCGAAAATTATTAACAGATAAATAAAAAGCATGTTCACAAAGAGGTGAATGGGCACTATAAGGCATTCTATGGCTATTATATGAGTCGGAGACTCTATGCTTCGCATATTTGTAATTAGTTAATAAAATCCATCTAGAGAGTGGAATCCTATATTCTCTAGCAACTTTTCGGTAGTATGCGCTCAAATCATCTGAGGCGGTTTCCAGCTTAGATTTATCTATATCGGATGATGTAATTTCTGAATTATATTTTAGGATAATATTAAGAGCGATTGATCTTTGTTTACTAGTAGTTGTAATAATACGAACATAGGGTTTTTTTTCTTTGTAATAACCGCGAATAGGAAATGCCTTTATATGTTCTGTCTGGAGTTCTGTCATATCTACAGTTCCCCCTTTACCATCTTTTCCATTGACAATAATATTTTTTATTTCAGTTTCGAATATATCAATATTTTGGTTATCGGGAACACGAATATCGAAGAAAACTTTTATACCGGAAAATGTAACTACAGCTTTTTGGCCATTAACAAGATAACTGTAAAGTCATAAAACATAGTATGGTGTATTATTTATATACTCATTATATTCCTCTATATCACAAAGCATAAATGGGATATCTTTCCCAATAATTAAATCCTGATTAATAGTTGCTGTTGATCCATAGTCATCATTTTCAGCAATTATCACATTGCGACTCGGATGGGTTGATAAATATTCTTCTTCATTGTAGTAAAATACCTGGCTTTCCTTCTTACTTTCTGAAATCTTTGATTGAGGAAAAGCTCTATACCCCCAGAAGTAGAATGCCCTGTTATTTTCTTCTGGCTCGAAATTCTCCGAGTTATCCACGGTTGGTGTATCAGGTACAATAGGCATGCTATATTCATTTTGGATACTCATGTTTTTTCTGAAAGAATATTATTCGGAATTAAAAAGTTCAAAATGAAAATTAATTCTAAAGAATATTAAT